AATAAATAAATAAAAGAAAAAAAAAGAGAGAGAAAGAAAGAAAGAAAGAAAATATTGAGAAAAAAAAAAAAATAAAGAAATGAAAGAAAAGAAAGAGAGAAAGAAAGAAAAAAAGAAGAGCACGTAAATAAAAAGAAAATAAATAAATGCAAAATGAAAGAAAGAGAGAGAGAAAGAAAAAAAGAAAGGACATATGTTTGTGAGAAAGTAAAAAAAATAAAGAAATAAAGAAAAAAAGAAAGAAAGAAAAAAAGGAAGAAAGGAAAGAAAGAAAATTAAATAAAATAAATAAAAATGAAAGAAAGAGAGAGAGAAAGAGAAAAGAAAGAAAGAAATCATATGTTGAAAAGCAAAATAAATAAATAATGAAAGAAAAGAAAGAAAGAAAGAAAAAGAAAAGAAAGAAAGAAAGAAATAAAGAAAGAAAAATAAACAAAAGAAAAAAAAGAGAAAAAAAAGAAAACATTTGTTGAGCAAGTAAATAAATAAATAAATAATGAAAGAAAGAAAAGGAATGAAAGAAAGCAAAACAAAAAAAAGAATGAGGACATTTCAGAAAAACGAATGAATGAAAGAATGAATGAAAAAACAGAAAAGAAGAATGGGAAGAAAAAGAATAATTAAAAGAGAGAATGAATGAATGAAAGAAAAAAATGAAAAAAGAATGAAAGAATGGAATTTCTTTAAAAAAAAAGAGAGAAATGAATGAATGAAAGAAAGAATGAATGAAAAAAAAAAAAAAAGAAACTGCGTTTATGAATCCAAAGAAAGAGAAAAATGGATGAAAAAAGAAAAGAAAGAACTAAAGATTGAAAATGTTTAAAAAATAATTTAGAAAAAAAAAAATGAAAAAAAGAAAGAAAAAAAAATAAAAAAATAAAATAAAAGAAAAGAAGAAAAAAAGAAAGAAAAACAAAAAAACGAAAAGAATAGAGAAAAAAAAGAAAATAAAAAAAAAAGAAAAAGACATGATAATTTAAAAAATTAAAAAAAGAAAAAAGAAAGGATGAAGAGAAGAAAAAAGAATCACTATAAAGAAAGAAAAAAGAAAGAAAGAAAGAAAGAAAAAAGAAAGAAAAAAAGAAGAAAAAAAAGAAAAAAGCCTTAAAGAAAAAAAAAGTAAAATGAAAGAAAAAAACAAAAGAAAGAAAATAATGGCATAAGTGAAAACTTAAAAGATTGAAGATTGATAAAAAAATTAAAGCAAAAAAAGAAAGAAAAAAACAATAAGAGTCGGTCGGTCAAAGAAAAAGAAAAGAAAATAAATAAAAAAGAAAGAATATTAGAAAGAAAAAAAAAGAAAAAAGAAAGAAAAAAAGAAGAAAGAAAGAATAAAAGGAGAAAGAAAAAGAGAAAAAAGAAAAAAGAAAAAAAAAGAAGGGGAAAGAAATAAATTTTGAATAAAAATAGAAAATAATAGAAAGAAAGAAAGAAAGAAAAATGAATGAACGAATGAAAGCGAGCAAGAAAGTTGAAAAACGAAAGATGGATAAAGAAGAGAAGGAAAAAGAGTAAAAAGAAGAAAATGGTAAAGGAAAGAGAAAAGACGAATAAAAAAGAAAAGTAAAACAGTAAAGTAAGGACGTGAAAAAATGAAAGAGAAACAAAATATAAAGAGATGTAAAAGAAAGAATAAATTAATGAAAGTAAAGAGAAAAAAAGTTGAAAAAGGAAAAAGAAAAAGGGGAAAAGAAGAGAAGGAAAAAGAAAAAAAAAAAAAAAAAAAAAAAAGAGGAATAAAAAGAAAGAAAAAAAAAAAGAAAAGAAAAGAAAAAAAGAAAGAAAGAGAAAAAAAAAAGAGGAAGGAAAAAAGAAAAAAAAAAAGACAATGGAGGTAAAAAAAAGAAATAAATTAGAAAGAAAGAAAAAAAAAAAAAAGAAAGAAAAAAAGAAAGAAAAGAAAGAAGAAAGAAAAAAAAATGAAAAGAAAAAAACAAAGAAAAAGAAAGACAAGAAAAAAAAAAGAAAGAAAGAAAGAAAGAAAAAATAAAAAGAAAAAAAAAAAAGAAAAAAAAAAAAAAAAAAAAAGAAAGAAAAAAAAGGAAGAAAGAATGGAAAAACAAAAGACAAAGGATTATAAAGCAGAGAAGAAAAATGAAAGAAAGAAAAGAAAGAAAAAAAAAAAGAAAGAAAGAAAAAAAAGGAAAAAAGGACGTGGTAAAAAAAAAAAGAGACATGGAGGTATAAAATAAAAATATAGAAGAAAAATGAAAGAAAGAAAAAAAAAAGAAAAAAAAGAAAGAAAGAAAAAGAAGGAATGAATTTTTGTGCAAAAGAAAAAAGAAAAAGGAAAGATAAAAGCAGAGAAGTAAAATGAAAGAAAGAAAGAAAGAAAGAAAGAAAGAAAGAAAGAAAGAAAGAAAGGAAGGACGTGGAAAAAACAAAAGACAAAGGAGGTATAAAGCAGAGTAGTAAAATGAAAGAAAGAAAGAAAGAAAGAAAGAAAGAAAGAAAGAAAGAAAGAAAGTGGAAAAATGAAAAAGCGAAGAGGGATAAAGATTAAAAGGAACGAGAAAAGAAAGAAAATAGTAAAAAGATAGAGAACGGAGAAATAAAGAAGTCAATTAAAAAGGAAAGAAAGAAGAAAGAAAGTATGTTGAAAAAATGGTTTTATAATTAGAAACTGAAAAATGAAGAAAAAAGGAAAAGAATTAAGATTAAAAAAATGAATAAAAAAAAAAAGAAAGAAAAAAAAAAAAAAAAAAAGAAATTTTCGAAAAAAGTAAAAAGAAAACAATAAAAAAAGAAAGAAAAAGGACGATCAAGAAAGATGAGAAAGGAATTTCTTGAGAAGATTCACGTGACACAAACGGAAAAGAAGAGTCCAGAAGTATTAAACTTCCACTGAAATCGAAGAAAGGTGGTAAAAGTTATGAGCATTGGGTGCTGAATTGGTAAGAGCAAGCGAAGAAGCGAAGCAGAAGGAATTTGAGAAAATATTTGGCAACCCAAGAGGACGACAGGAACATGCCAACTTCTCAAAAATAAGAACATGAAAGGACCTATAAAATTAAATATTTTCGTTTTTCTGAAAAACAAAGGTTTAGAGGTCCTGATTACCATTAAGAGAAAATAAATATATTGTGTGAACATTTGATATTCATGTGCTGGTCGGTAAAAGAGTTATTAAAACAACTTTGCCCGATGGAAATGGCTGCATATTTATAAAAATTTAGTGTGATTCAGAATAAACGATTTATAAATATGGATTGGGTAGGGATATAAATCACCATTTTATGGACAATTATATATAAATATATATATATATGCAATTACCATGGAAAAATTTCAGAATTTCCTCGTAAAATGCGCATGCCATGCCTGGATTCCATGCAAATTAGTCTGTATATAAACAGAAGTGAATCTATCTTCTTCAAATTTCCTTATCAACAGAACATCCACGAATATATATATATATATATATATATATTTATATATATATATATATATATATATATATATATATATATATATAAGGCAAAAACAAATTTATGCATGTTTCATTAAAAACGACAGACAAGGTACTGGTTAATCTTTTTATTTAATTTTTTTTCTTTGTTCTGACAAAGAGCTTTCATTTTCTGGACAAAGGTGTGTAAGAACTGTCCAAATGTTTTATATTTCCGAGCGCATTTAAAGCTATACCTTTAGCCATTATCAAGGATGATTCATATTTTTCAGCTTAATTGAGTGTGATGTTCTGTGTATGTATTAGTGTGTGTGTAGGGATGTTTTTAATTTCCGAATACGGTTAGCAACTGTAGATTTGTTTTAACACCCCTTTATCCAGAAAGAAAAAGCTCTTGTCAAAAACACAACAAAAAAAAAAATTAAATAAAATCAATTGAGTATTTAATTCAGTTGTCGTTTTTAATGAAAAACATGCATATATATATATATATATATATATATATATATATATATATATATATATATGTAATCATTAATTAGGGTGCTATTAAAAAATTAATTTTGCAGATGACTCTCACAGGATATATTTGAATTTTTATTCAATACCCACAGAGGCAAACTGTGGTTTATATTGCAACTATGCTGAGCAGGCTTTATTTACAGTTTCTGAATGAGAACGTGCTATCTAACATGATCAACAAACTGAACAAGGCCAGCACACTCAAATCCTCGGTCACGATGACTTGTGACTTCGTGCTATGACAGCTATAGACGGCCCCACAACAGTTCCGCTACCAAATTTTCTACCATGGTCTCAGACTCAACATGGAGATATCACTTAAATGTCGTTTATATGTTCTTTCGTATACAATTGGGGCTTACCAAATTTAATAAATTTTGGATAAATTCTTTACGCCTTCAAAACAATTTAGGGAACAAATTTTTCAGCAGCCAAAATTATCATATACATGACCAGTACATTTTGTTGGTAAAATAAATGGAAATCAAAACATATATATATATATATATATTTTATATATATATATATAAAATATATATATATATTTGTGTGTGTGTTGTTGTGTATACAATAAATGTATTTAAAATATGAATATATATATATATATAGAAATGCATATTTTCATTACACAGGAGAAATATTTTTAAAAATAATCCACATAAACACACATTATATATATTATATATATATATATATATATATCTATATCATTGTATATATATAATATATATATATATATATATATATATATATATATATATATATTTCTTAAAAAATTATCATTATGTTTCATTTATTACAGAAGAAATTTTTTTGAATATTTATATGGAATATATATTATTATATATATATAATGTATATATAGATATATATATTATATATATATATATAAATATATATATATATATATTTATATATATATTATTATATATATATATATATATATATTGATTATCAATATATATATCAATTGTGTATATTCTTATTTATATATATATATATTAAATAGGAAGAAATATTTTCACAAATTATTTTCATTCAAGAAAACAGAATTGAATAGAGAATATATATATATATATATATAGTCTATATATATTTTATATATATATCGTGTTTTATGATTAATGGCCAATGTGTTTGTGTGAAAGATCTTTTTACTTGGAAAAGTACGTTATAATTTTGTAAATATATTGTGCTTATGATATTTACTTGTATGTGAAGTTTTAAGTAAGCATGTTCGTGTGAGTGTGTAAGATAAAACCAAAAATTTGATATCGAAGAATAGCTAAACTTATTAAACCTTGGTGCAAAAACCGGCGCCCTTTTCCTCCCTCACCTTCTTTTATGTTTATTTCGTCAGCAGACATCTAGTTTTTTGTAACGATTTGAACAGTTCCTGATCCAATTAAACACAAGTCCCCAATGAACAAATACAATTTATGTATTTTCCAGAGACGCGCGGGTCTTGATAAGCATTTTATATGTCTATACTCATCTTACTGTTTTACAAATATAACATTCATTGAAAAACAAAATGGTCCTGGGTATGACGATATGCTACATCTGGCAGCAAGGCCCGTGATCGAGAGAATGAAGCTTTTGTGGAGTTTTGAATTACCTATAAATATCTGTTAATCACAGGTCTACTCTGACCCGGGTGGTAGAACCAGTTAAGGCCCCAGCTATGGGCAAATAGTAAACCACCACGAAAAAAAAACAAAAAAACAAAACAATATGAAAGTATAAAATAGATTATAATAAACGTGCCCGTAATATATTTTTTATATAAAATCATTACAAAAAAATTCATATTTATAGTAAAATTACCAACAATACAATTGCGTTCCAAATATATTGAGTTGAAGCGATAAAAGTGTGTTCAAATTATTTATATTTTGGCATTAAATAACGCATAGAGATTTATATGCCGCTAAAAAAAAATCAACCAAACAACCAAATAACTCTTTCACAACATCTTATATATCAAGTACGGTATGTGTGTTTTTGTGCGTGTACAAGCAACTCCTTCCACTACCACTGGTGTGATTTCAATGATTCATAGCTCATTCAAAAGCCCTAGAAAAGTTAGGCCCAGCGAACGATTTTCGTTAAGCTCAGATTTAAAATATATATTAACAATATATATTAATATATTATACTAGCCATCGTTGCTTTCATGGTTCAAGTAAGTCTTATTTTTCTTTTCTATCGAAAAGTTACTAGCTATAATACGTTTTTTTTAAAAAGCCGCCGTATCGTCGGCAAATTTGTCTTTGATTGAAAAACTCTTGGTTTGGCCATCATCACAATAGGCAAGGAGGAGTAGATGTGATAGGCATCAATAAACTACAGAAGAACTTAAAATTGATCGCTGAATTTAAGTATATAATACAATGCATATGTGTGTGTGTGTGTGTGTGTTTGTGTGTGTAAAATTAGCTGTAATAACATTTTAAAACTAAAACACACTTTTGAATGAGAGATCAGAAACTATGTCACATTGTATATTGTATAAATACAAAAAAAGTTCCTTTTGAGTTCATATGAAGTGGGATGAAAAGAAAGTATGTATATTTCATTTAATCCCTCACCGATACATTTCCAATACACTTGCTTTTCTCCTCTCCCTCCTCTCCTTCTAACACACATAATGTCGTGGGCTTTTCTTTCTTTTTCTTTTTTTTAAATATGGCGTCATTTTTTTTTTCAAATAAAATTGTTATCATTCGCGGCTCTACCTGTTCTTCCAACTGTTTTATTTTTTTTTTTCCAGCGAGAAGGGTAGCAAGACACCCAACATGATCGAAAACAAGACCCGTGAAATGTCAGATGAACATTGTTGTACGATCAACGCTGGAATTCGTAGTTGTATAGGCAGAGAGTGTAGGGATGACATGACGGAACCGGGTGGAGGTATTTCCTAGACTTCCAGGGGAGAAGTTTCTCGCTACGGCTATGTATCCATAACCAAGGCGATCCTTCAAGTTGGGCGACTTCAACAGTAGTTTGATACGGAGAGGGATAGTCTCCTCCAAGTCTACTTCCCCAAAATCCACCACGCAGAAATGAATATCTATCTGACTTTCAATCCAGATATGTGGAGTAATCGGTCAGGTGACATCCGCTCATTGAATGATGATGATGCTGATGCTGATGCTGAAGATGCTTTTTAATCATTTTAAATCAACATAAAATTACAGTTGTTTGTTGCGTGATTTTGTCAGATGATAGGATTTGATTTGATCTCTTAGGAAAAAAAATATCCAATTCGAATGTTATATTTAGCTAAAATCAATAGTTCAAAGTTCAGTTAGAACATGCTGATAGGAGAGAAGATGGTTTTTGAGATGTATTCAGTGACTTTAAATTGATTTCTTCAGAATTAATATTTGAGCCGAACAAATCTGATATTTAGCTGCAATCCGTAGAACAAAATTGAACTTGGTTGGAATTTTATCCGATAGGAGATAGGATATTGAAGCAGTGTTGATTGAATCTCATTTGAGATTAGGAATTGTCGATTTATTATTATTGATATATGTATATACGTGTCATTCAGCTAGTTTCAGCAAATTTGAATCGTGGTCGGCAATAGGAGACTTTTACCGAATCTGGATATTACGCGAGATTTAAATTGGCTCAATCCGATATATTGGAGTAGATTTATCTGAATGCAGTCCGGATTGAATCAATTGATCCTCGTTAGCTTTGAAGATAATTTGAACTCAGTTTAACCATGATTAAATCGAAACCTGTCGATTTGAGATTAAATTGGCTCGAAAAGAATTTATTCGGATTTGATAACTTTGAATCGACGTGCAATGGAAGATAAATAGATAATAGAATGAAAGAAAGTTGAGAAAAGGAAAAGAACTGGGCTAAATTTAGATCGGATTGGATGAGAATCCAACAGAATTTATGAAAACCGGTAAATAATAAATAGATAGATAATAAGATGATGAGCCAGATTTTTTAGATGCCGTGTCTATTCAAACAGAATGTGATATATAGATTGATAGATAGATCCTGTCTTAAAATTTTAAGAAAGATGGACAGATAGATT